AGCACTGTGTTTTCTTGCAGCGTTTTTCCCCCCTTCAGACTCCTTGTTGTTGTTTATTGTTACTTAAAGGAAGTGTTGTATTCTATTAAGTTAACAAACTTTCTAGATAGTATTATTTAATGAGCTAGAAGAGCCTCTTTAAAGAGTGTTATGTTAAGTGATGGAATGGATTAATGAATAATATAATTTCAGAACATTTATTAAATATGGATGAGTGGGACTTACGGGGGGAAGAGGAAGGAGGGATGGAAAAGAGTTCTGAAGAACAGGACACTGGTAGAAACTCTTTGGCCCTACCCTTTCCCATCATATTAAAATTGCTTTAGATAATTTGTCATCTAAGACTTTAGTGATATTTGGTGAGGGCGCGTTAATATTGACATTCAAACAGCAGGCTATTGCAAGTCAAAACAGGTGAAGAATTGTTTGCTGTCTGCTGGCTACTAGAAACACCCTTGAGATGTGAGAACAATATATGTTAGATTTTATGTATTTATTATTCTTGGCTAGGTGGCCTGCTGGAATATAATTATAAATTAGAGCACCAGATATCCAACCCTTTTATCCTTTTACAAAACATGTAAAATACACTTGTAGTTTATTCTATTAAAATTTGAAAAGTCTCATATTTAAACAGTGATAGGTCAACTTCACTTATAGAACCTGGGAGAAGGAAAAATTATTGTGTGCAGGAATGAGCATTTGTATTAAGAAAATAGTGATTGCGTTTAATTATTATACTGAAAAGAAATAAAGAAGCATGTTTAAAGAGTTTATCTAATGTATCGTTTTATTCTGATACAAGCCACCCATATCTTTTAGTTACATTTCTGTGCTTATTTTGTAAATTATCCGATATGCTAATAGAGTCAAGCTGAAGGCAGCTGGCTGCTAGTGTTACAAGCTGAAAACAAAATGGCTGGCAAGGATTAGCACTGTAAATTTTCGATAGAGAGCTGGATGCAATTAAGATATCTTTTGTTGAAGGAGAATGTTGCAAAGTAAGTTGATGAGGGAATAACTAGATGCTTTTGACAATAAAGAAACATCATTTTATTAAAGAAAATGTACAAATACTCTAACAGAATAAAAACAAAAAGGTTTCACGCTAAAGAGAATGATTCGTTTTTAACTAAGCAATAAAAAAACTCTTATTAATATTCATTCAACCATCTTTGTCTTTATCGTTCTAAGATTCAGGTAGTTTCTTAGGGTGGTATTTATGATTTCACAGTAACAGTGTAGTTAAGAATAAAAGAAATTTAAAAATGAAAACATTCTTAGAACAGAGGGAAATTTAGAGATAAGTTTCTAGAAGTTTTTTTCTTTGTGAATCTTTCAGATTAGCATTAGATTTATTTATTTATGAATTTTTTAGATTAGAACCTTTCAGGAGGATAGAAGAAATAGAATAGCGTACAAATTTAGAGATAAGAGTGAAACTATAGTTTAGAAAATGACAATGTCCATAGATTTGTATATTAGTAAAGATTTTTTTATGTGTAATAAGAAGCCTTTTCCATTGATTTTTAGCAATTGTTGAAAGATTAAGTGACATTAAAATTGTTGATGGCCTCGGATGGATTAAGAATTAGATTCAGGAATTGTTAATTACTTAGGGTGGAGAGAGCACATTAGGTCACATGCCTGTCTTTCAGTGTAAATGGCTATTTACTGTAAGGGAGCAAAAAGGTACATTTGTCACTTCCACTTCTCTAGCACATAGTATACTGTCCCAGCACTTAGTGGGTATCTAGAATGATGAATGAGTAACAGCAAACACATACACACACGTGCACAAAACACATGCATAAATACAAAAAAACATAAAAGACACATATACATACATACATAAATACACAGTTATATTCATTTAATTTTCACAACCTTATGGGATAAAGTCTATTATTTTATTTTACTCATTTAGTAGCAGCAGAGATAAAGAAACAGAGACAGAGAAGAAGTTAAATGACTTGACCAAAGTCATACAGTATATGTTGGAGCCAGGATTTGTAGTTATGTGGTCCCAAAATCTTTGATCATATCTTCCTTCAGTAATTGAAGATTAAGATACACTAGTACTCAATAGTATCCATAGCCCTCAGGAACATATACTGTGACACACACTTTGTCAGAAACTACAGAGCAGAAAAAAAAACCTTTCTGCTACATCTCTTTCAAAATTGCTCTGATATTTTGTTTTCTAAAATGCTTTTCTACTACTTAGCTATCGCTGATGGTCCATTATCAGCTAATGCAGATGTCAGTTCTAAAAGCTATTTAAAAGTGAGAGCAATTGTAGTCAGGAAGCAGTTGGAAAACACATGAAGCTTTCTACACTCCACAAAATGACTGCCAACATCTAATCAATCAGTCATCAAGTCCCGATGATGAAAACTTCTGAATATTTCTCAACTTTGTCTTCTTTTTTCCTCTGCCATTCTCACATCTTTATATTAGGATTTCCTCTTTTCTCACTTAAATTATTAGGTTGGTGCAAATGTAATTGCGGTTTTGGACCATGAATTTTATTTTATTTTATTTTTTTTCTGTATGGACCATGAATTTTAAATCATTATAACTAGGCTCAAACACATATTTATAAATCAAAATAGGAACCATTACAATCAATACATTTTTTGCCAGGGAGAAGTAAGTTTATTTATTCCTGTAGCATAAAAATCCATGCTTCAAGACTTGATGAACTCTTGGAAAGCATTTTCTGCCTCCATCTGGTTGTGGAAGCATTTTCCCTGCAAAAAGTTTTCAAAAAGCTTGAAGGAAGTGGTAGTTGGTTGGCAAGAGGCCAGGTGAATATGGCAGATGAGGCAGAATGTCGTAGCCCAAATCATTCAACTTTTGAAGCTTTGTGTGGTTGGGTGTTGTCATGGAAAAGAACGGGGCCCTCTCTGTTGACCAGTGCTGACTGTAAGCTTTGTGGTTTTTTGGTGTACTTCATCAATTTGCGAGTACACTTCTCAGATGTAATGGATTCACTAGCATTCAGAAAGCTGTAGTGGATCAGACATGCAGCAGACCACCAAATAGTGACCGTGACCTTTTTTTGGTGCAAGTTTGGCTTTGGGAAGTGCTTTGGAGCATCGTCTTGGTCCAACCACTGAGCTGGTTGTCACCGGTAGTTATGAAAAATACACTTTTTGTTATATGTCACAGTCCAATCGAGAAATGGTTTGTTGTTCTTATGTAGAATAAGACAAGACGACACTTCAAAATGATGATCTTTTTGATTTTCAGTCATCTCATGGGGCACCCACTTACCAAGCTTTCTCACCTTTTCAATTTGTTTCAGATGCCTAATGACCATAGAATGGTCAAGGCTGAGTTCTTTGGCAACTTCTCATGTATTTGTAAAAGGACCAGCTTTGAATGATGGCTCTCAGTTGTTGTTGTCAACTTCCGATGGCCAGCCACTGCACTCCTCATCTTCAAGGCTCTTGTCTCCTTTGCAAAACTTCTTGAACCACCCCTGCACTGTACGTTCATTAGCAGTTCCTGGGTCAAATGCATTGTTGATGTTGTGAGTTGTCTCTGCTGCTTTACAACCCATTTTGAACCTGAATAAGAAAATTGCTCAAATTTGCCTTTTGTCTAACATCATTTCCATAGTCTAAATATAAAGTAAACAGCAAGCAACAAGTCATTAGCAAAAAAGAAAGAAAGAAAGAATTGTGCATTAAAATGACATATAGTTCAGTTCAGTTGCTCAGTCGTGTCCAACTCTTTGCGACCCCATGGACTGCAGCATGCCAGACCTCCCTGTCCATCACCAGCTCCTGGAGTTTACTCAAACTCATATCCATTGAGTCAGTGATGCCATCCAACCATCTCATCTTCTGTCATCCACTTNATTCTTTTTTTTTTTTTTAATTTTTATTGGGGTATAGTTGATTTACAATGTTGCATCAGTTCCAGGTGTACAGCAGAGTGAATTAGTCATACATGTATCCAATCTTTTTTAGATTCTTTTCCCATATAAGCCATTATAGAGGTTTGAGTATAGTTATATGTAGTAGTGTATATATGTCAATCCCGGCCTTCCAACTTAGCTCCCCATCTTATCCCCTGATAGCTGTGAGTAATACTCCATTGTGTGTGTGTACCACATCTTTATGCATTCCTCCATTGTTGGACATTTATGTTGCTTTTATGTCCTGGCTATTGTAAATAGTGTTCCAGTGAATACCGGGGGGCCCTCTCTTAATTCTTTAAAATACATTTAACTTCTTGTCTCATTTTGTGCCCATGGGACTTTCATTTATGAAGGTGACTGGTGACATGGAGTGGCCATGCCATTAAAAGAAGATTTTTATTACTAAAGTTTCCCAGGAAATGGGGACCCAGCATGCTGTGCAAAGCCATGTGAGGAAGCACCAGTTTTGATCAGGAGGCAGGAAGAGCAAGGAGAAACCTTAGGCCAGACCTTTATTGAGGTTTCCATGAGAAAGGCAAGGCAGGTCATTGTAAACAGTTTACAGCTGGCTCATCTGAACAGAATGGGCAGTGCCTGGTGCACGGGGACTGCCTCTGGTTGTCTGGTATCTGGCCCTACTTTGGTTCAGGGCATGGGGGAGAACTGGCCTGATGTGTGGAACTTTGATGAGATGGTTGGGGACATGGGCTCTGGGTTGGTTGGTTTGCATGTGAAAAGTTCCCATTGAGCCCTTGGCTAGTGCTGGGCAGCAGAGTCTCTTTCCCAGTCAGCCAGGCCACAGATGTCAGAACATCAAGAATAAAGAAAACATGATACAGTTGATCCCCTGATGCTTAATAAACATGGTTTTAGCTCTCATTTGGATAATTGAAATTATTAGTTCCCTCTGCCAAGGTAACATTACATGATGACAAAAATTTACTTTAAAACATGATACTTGTACATAATATATGTACTTCTTATGCAGTTTTTTGTTGATAAAATTTAAAGTAGGGAATAAGTGTAGGTATGCCAACCCAGCAATATAGTTGTGAAAATTGTCACAGTGATTTGTTGATAATTGGATGGAAATAATGTTTTCACATTTTTCTCATAAAGGATATATTGATTTGTCAAAAAGAAGAGTTTCACCAGAGGAAGCAATCAAATGTGAAGATAAATTTACCAAATCCAAAACTGTAAGTTGATTTTTTAGTCAAATTAGTCCACTGTTCACTCTGTTTAGTAAATAATCTACATGGCATATTGCTGGCAGAAACAAAAACCTAGATTTTCTGGATCTGTATTTCCGTTTTCAGTTCTGTGTTACATAGGAAAATAATTTGAAGACTTCATTTCGAACGAGTGTGACTTCAGTGAGACATCCGTTGTCTCACGATGTTACTACCTTGAAGCACTGAAGTCTAATGTTCTCAGATCAGTACCAGACCATTAGTGTTTTTAAGCTCTTTTATGTTAAATTAACTATGAGTAATTTCAGCTGATTTGGCTGTCATAACATGTAAGTTTTGACTTTTAACTCTTCTGGGGTAAGGATCACAGAGACAGCCAGCTTTTGTGTGCTAAAAAAAAAAGGTTTGTAAAATGTGTTTGAATTTTGTTTGAAAGCAAGGCAAGGGACCTGTTACTTGATGTGGGTCTTCACCCTTCACACACCTTTTTTTTTTTTTGCTCTAATTTGCTACTTATCCACAGTAAGCACTAATAAAGCAAGAACTGTCATTTCTTCATTGTCATCTTCCTGTATTTTTCTGTTCTTTGGTCCTATTTAGATTTCCCTTTGTTCCCTGGATCTTCAGTTCTTATTGGGAGTTTCTATTGCTTCTCTTTTCTTTATCCTTCTTTTGTGTCTTTTGTTCTCTTCTGCCCTGTATGTTTTTATCTTCAAGGTAAAATGACAAGAAAACTTTAAATGAAGAGAAGATTTTTTAAATCTTGCTTAACTCTGGTAAAAGAGTAAAATTACAAAAGCCGTGAGACGATTACCCAAATCTTTCAAGTTCCACCAAGTCCAAATTTGAGAAGCACATCTCTCGGAAATTTCCATTTTGTTTTGTTCCCCTAGACTATTGTAAAATGCTGTAAAATGAGTACATGAGTAGATCTTATTGGGATGATACGATGTTAGAATGAAATAGCCAATGATATTACCTTCCCTTGGTCAGTTTTTGTGTGTACTTAAGATGAAATCTTCTTTCTTAATACACTTTCTCTTCTTTGGGCCCTTTTATTTTTCGGTGATTAGAAAAATTAGCAGCAGTGAGTAGGAGATGGGTAGGATTGAAGGATAATTGTTAAATGATAACAGAGCAAAAGCAATACTAAAATCTCCATCCTGGTTCTGTGCTGTCATGTTGGTGTTGTTGGGGGGGGTGTGTGTGTGTGTGTATGTGTATGTTTTTGTTAAGTTGTTTCTGACTTTTTGCAACCCCATGGACTGCAGCCCACCAGGCTCCTCTGTCCATGGAATTTTCCAGGCAAGAATACTGGAGCAGGTTGCCATTTCCACATCCAGAGGATCTTCCCAATCCAGGGATCGAACCCACATCTCTTGTGGAATAGTAGTTCTAATGTCTTACATTTGATCCATGTAAGAACTCTCTACAATAAAAAGGAGAGTTACTGGTATCTCCGTTTTCTAGATGAGGAAACATTCAGAGAGGTTGGTTTGTCCCAGAATTGACTTGCTCTGGATCTTAGGCTATCAATGCTACGCTGTTTGTGTTTGTTCACCCACTTGAGTTCATTGTTATGGAAAATAAATAATTATGGGGGAAAAAATGTTTTCATTTGGTAATCTTTTGTTGTTAAGGAGTTACTCTAATCAAAGTAACCAAAGGTTTGTTTTCATATGCTGTCTTCTAAAATGTAAAAATTTCTTTTTTAAAAAACATAGATCTCTTATCTTTGAATTGTTCTCTTCATTTTTTTTCTAGGTTTACAGCATTCTTCGTCATGTTGCTGAAGTCTTAGAATATACCAAGGATGAGCAACTGGAAAGCCTGTTCCAGAGGACTGCCTGGGTCTTCGATGACAAGTACAAGAGACCCGGATATGGTGCCTATGATGCATTTAAGCACGCAGTCTCGTAAGAACTCCTCCTTAGCTCTGCTTTTCCCTTCGTATTACAGCTGCTAGGCCTAGCACACAGGTTGAGAGCCTGACATTTAGTAACACAACATCCATGTAGTAAGTCCTTGTCAAATTTAGATAAAAATATTTTAGTATAAAAGGCCTGTGATATGGGCCAGTCCTCTATAAAGCTGAGCCTGTATGATTTGGTGTTCCATAGTTGGGTAGTTCTTTAAAACATCTGACACCATTGCCTTAAATCTTTTCCTCTCCAAGTTTTGTGATTGTCTTCGGTGACTTCAGGGCCAGCATAGACATTTCATTTAAACTGTAATCTCTTGTTTTCTTTACCTCAGCTGCTTAGACCTTCAGCCCACGCCACGTTGGCCAGTTTTCCATATGACCTCACCCTGGGTCTTACTGTCACCAGGATTTGCTTCTCCAAAATCTTTAATTCACACATTCTATTCTTTTACCACGGCCTCCTGTCCTTCCAGCTGCCACATTGTCCTACTCTGTCGTCGTCTTATATCAAGCTCTGATTCCAGACCCTTTCTTTCCTCCCTGTCTTTTCACCCTTTCCTGCCTTCTCTTTCTTACTCAACATAGACACATGGTCCGTCATTTCAGCAACTTTCTTGCCAGTATCATGAGCTTTGCCCTGTTTTTCCTTCTGTTACATCCAGCCTTGGAGCGATGTTCCTGCCTTCTCTGCACTTATAGACTGCTGGGTGCTGCTAGGAAAAACCACAGTCTTACAGGTTGGTGCCACTGCATATTCATGGTCTCCAACCTCAGCTGGGCCTTAACTGCTGCCCCACACCCTCTTTGCTCCTGATCACTTCTTCCTCCCATTCTTAGATTGGCTGTTTCAGAACTTTTCCACACTTCCCCAGATACCCACTCTATCCCTCTTACCTCACTCTCACCTGCTGTGCTCACTGCCTGAAATAGAAGCCATTGCACAGGATCACCTCCGTTTCCTTCCACTGTCTCATCCAGCTTATCTCTGTCCCACCTGTCATTACCTCTGTGCTCCTGTCACACTGGAGCAGGTCATTCCTGCTCTCAAACTAATCTTACCACCTGTGCCCAGCTATTGCTGAGGAATATCATCTCCATCTGTTATTCCCTCCCTTGAGTCTTGAGTCTTCAGCCTTTTTCTTTATTGGTTTTGCTCTATCAGCATAAAAATATGCTCAGATTTTTCCCATTTACACTAAAAAACAAACTTTTCAACCTGCCCTCTACTTCCTGTAGGAAGCACAATGTCCTCTCCTTTTAACAGCCAGACTTCTTAAGTTCTCTGTACTTACTGTCTCTACTTCTGCACCTCCCACTCCTTCTAGATGTTAATGCTTCACAAGCAGCCTCACCACAGCATCGTTACTTGCCAACCCTTGTCCTTCCAAGGGAGATTAGTCTCCTCAGGCCTCAGAATGGCCTCAGCCTCAGAATGGACTTTGAACTGTTAGAGCTTCCATCATGCCTACTCACCTGAGGCTCCAGATCCCTTCCACCTTAGCCCCTCCCCTCATGTGACTTAATTTTTTTTATGTCAAATTGTGGGAAAGGTGAGGAGTAATAATTATGACAGCAAACATATATGTAATTCTCACAACCACCTATGGTGTAAGTGCTATTATTCCTATCTAATAGATGAGGAAATAGAGGCAGAGATTAAATTGTCCAAGTTCACACAGCTACCAAATGGTAGAGCCAGGATTCAAACACAAGCATTCTAGGTCTGTCCAGAGTTTATGCTATTAGAGCATCAAGCACTGCTTTATATTTCTGTCCTCCCTGACTTTAGTCTTGGGCTCCTCAGTCATCTCTTACCTCGGTTTGCTGTCATCATTGGCCCTGCTTACAGCTTCTGCCTCCTGCACCTTCTCCATTACTGCTCTGCATTAACATTCTTAACAAATTAACATTCATCCTAGTGAATTAATCTTCACTTCTTACCGTTAAAGTTCTTCTCTTGCTTCGTCAGCCATGTTGCAGCTGTCCAGATTTAACTCATGATAATTTGATGCCACATGTGCTTCATTTTTTTTTTTTTTCCTTTTAGTTAAAATTTCTGAGATAATTGGAAACAATATTTTTTGCCTCCAAAGCCATTTTGGTCACTCAACAATGGTAACCACTGTTCTGAAATTATGTGTGTGTCATTATCATTTATGGTATTGATGCATGTAAATGTGTGAATAGATTATGAAAAGTACATACCGAATCTTTTTTATGTTTTAAAATATTTTATTTAAACAAAATTTATTTTATCATTGTGATGGGTTTTCAATACTTTACATTTTTACTTGTAATGCTGTTACTGTAAATTTCAGTAATATATCAATTTCTCCAAATTGATACATGTATGCCTACTTCATATTAATTTCTATATAGTATTTACTTGTGAGAATATGCCTTTTTTTGTTCCTCTGTTAAAAAAGGTTTAGGTAATCCCCCCCACACCCCGTTTTTCAAATAGTGCTATGTGAATATCCATGTACATGTCTCTGTGTACACATTTGGAAATTTCTAAGATAAACACCTCAGAATAGAATTGTTGAGTCATGGGACTGATTATATGCACCTTTAAATTTATTTCTCTTAATCAACATTTGATATATATCTCAGATTTTTCTTTTCTTTTTGCCAAACAGATTGAGTCCAATAGTGTCTTGTTTGGATTTGCATTTTTCTGGTTGTTGGTGGAAGTTGACCACTTTTCATATGTTAATTGACCATTTGTCTGTGAAACATGTTCATCTCATTTTCTTTTTTTTTTCTGTTGGACTGTCTTTCAGTATCAGTATATCAGAATTTTTCTTAAAACAGTCTTGTTAAAATCCTATCATTCTTTTAGTCATTATTTCTTTTTTTCCATTTGTTAATTTGTTCAACAAACATGCCAGTGAACAAGACTCTGGTCCCTGTTTGTGGCACATATGAGGGTCAGATGAAATGCCACTTCATTCTTGAAGCCCTTTCTGACCCCACTGATACCTTCCTCACCTCACCCCAGAAGTGCAAAAATGCACTTCTGTTTTTGGTTGGTTTTTTTTTTCCCCATGTTTTTGTTCTTTTTGCGCTCCTTGAAGCAAGGACTGCTAATTACATGTATATGCTTAATTATAGTGGGATGTGAGATATATAAGCAGAATTCATTTTATTGCACTTTGCAAGTACTGCATTTTTTACAGATTGAAGGTTTGTGGCAACCTTGCATCAAGCAAGTCTGTTGGTGCCAGTTTTCCAACAGCCTTTGCTCACTTCATGTCTCAGTGTCACATTTTGAGAATTCTTGCAATATTTCAAACTTTTTCATTATTTTGTTGTAATCTGTGATCCCTCAGTGTTACTATTGCAAGAAGATTACATCTCCCTGAAGACTTAGATGATGGTTACCATTGTTTAGGAATGAAGTATTTTTAACAGAAAACAACAGTATGGCATAGGTGTAACTTTTATATGCACTGAGAAAACAAATGTGTGACTCACTTTATTGCTAAACGTGCTTTATTGTGGTCTAGAACCGAACCCACAATATCTTCAAGGTATGCCTGTATAGGAGACATTAAATTGCTTGCTTTAGTCAGATCTCTAAAATTTTCCTTTTAATAATGATCATTTGGGTGTTTTCTTTTTGTCATACAGGCCTAAGCACTTCACTTGCATTATCTCATTTAATTCTGCAGTCCAGTGAGATCCACTGTTTTCATTCTTATTTTATAAATTTGGAAATTGAGATCTAGAAAGGCCCCCAAGCACAAAGCTGTTAAATTGTGAAGCTAAGATTTGAACTCTTACTTCTGACACGAAACACTGTGCTCTTAAACATTATTCTGTTATATTACGTTTGGTGTCCTAATTATCAGTAAAGTAACCTTGACATTTTGTTGTGTGTGTTTCCTTTCAGAGATCCATCTATTTTGGATAGCTTAGATTTGAATGAAGATGAACGGGAAGTACTCATTAACAATATTAATAGGCGTTTGACCCCACAGGCTGTCAAAATTCGAGCAGGTAAATGATTTTTTAAATGCTGTTTAAAATATTTTGCATGTACCAGAAACGCTATTAAATAATGAGCCTCACCAAAGAATATGTTGCTATATCAACATCTACCTTTTTCTAAATGTTTGTTTTTCACAGCAAGAAAAGCTAAAGAAATTAAGTAATTTTTGCTTCTACTGAGTTATCGTAAAATGCATATATATTGACACAAGTGAATGAGCTCAGCTAACCTTAAGTTGGCCCTTTTTTTGGGTGGAGTGATTATTTTGTTTTGGTGCATGCTTTAAAATTCTGACAGTACAGTAATACCCTCCCATGCCTCTGGATTAACCACTGTTAATTTAGGATCTATTCTTTCAGCATTTTTTCTATACCTATGCTGTATAGGAATGTATGCTATTTATGTTCAGATGTAAGTTTTTATGTTTTCATAAGAATGGGATCATATTGTGCACCATTTTCTTCAATTAGCTATTTCCATTTGGTATACCATGGCTGCCCTTCCATGAAGAACTTGGAAGATCATTCTTATTTTGAATGTTAGGTAATATTACATAGAATAATAAACCTTGATATCAGCCAGTCTCCTCTTGATGAATGTTCAGGTTGGGCCAGTCTTTTTTTACTGTAGTTGACCCTTAAACAATGTGTAAGAGGGTTGCCCACCCTCTGCGCACTCGAAAATTCATATAATCTCATCAGTCCTGTGTGTCTGTGATTCTGCATCCAAGATTCAACTACCATGGTTCATGTAGTATTGTAGTGTTTACTTTTGAAAAAAATCAACATGTTAAGGAGACCATGCAGTTGAATGCTGTATTGTTAAGGGTCAGCTAACTGTATTACAAAAAACACTGCATTTTTACACCTTTATACACAGACTTACCCATTTATACAGGTGTTCTATAAGGCAAATTCTTATAAGTAGGACTGCTGGGTCAGAGTGTGCAGTTTTAAACTATTCTAGACAATTTGTAGTTATGTTACTTTGGTTTTTTATCATTTATTTGGGGGGCTTTGCTGGCTCTCTGCGGCTGTGCAGGCTTTTCTCTAGTTGCAGTGTCCAGACTTCTCATTGTGGTGGCTTCTCGTTGCAGAGCAAAGGCTCTAGGGTGCTTGGGCTTCAGCAGTTGCAGCTCCTGAGCACGGGCTCAGTTGTTGCGGCGCATCAGTCTAGTTGCTCCACGGCATCCTGGATCTGGGATTGAACCCGTCTCCTGCATTGGCAGGCAGATCCTTGACCAGAGTCACCAGGGAAGCCCCTGTGGTTATTATTTCATTCAGATTTCATCACACTCCTCCTACCATTTCACAAATAAGGAACTGAAGCACGGAGGGGTTGGAATTATGATTTCAACCCAAATATAGCCCGAATTCAAGATGTTTGTTAAATTTGTCTGTTTTTTATAGTTTCATCATTCAGGGGCTTGATGTTGATGAGAAGATATGATGTCCCTGCATGTTCAGATATTTTTAAATATGAAAGTTAATAGCTGGAGTTGATTTTTAATTGAAACGGTGATAAAATGAAAGCTTTCATAAGTTTTTGAATACTAGTGTATTTGTCATATCTCTGATTTCTTTTTAAACTTAATTTTTTTTTTGCCTACTTTGGAATAAGCTTTTGAATTTCTGTAATTTTAGATATTGAAGTGGCTTGTTATGGTTATGAAGGCATTGATGCCGTAAAAGAAGCTCTGAGAGCGGGTTTGAATTGTTCTACAGAAACCATGCCCATCAAGGTGAGTAGTCTGTTTTCTCCCTCCCTACTGAAATATCCACTTAATCCAGAATTAAATCCAGAGTTTTTTTAATGATCATATTTCATATCAAGTGTTCTTAAAAGTGGCTCTTGATGATACTTCTAGGGACTGTTTAAAATTACGTGTAGGCTTTTGTTGTAGCTCCTGCTACTGCCACTATGGATAGAGATTCCTATCGGTAGTTAGTGCCAAAGAACCAGCTGTGCTAAACCGCCTTTACAGTAAGTAGTCCCAGTGCCCATTATGCTCATAGAATCTTGAAAAGGACAATATATTCTCTTATATTCACATACAGCTTTCAGGAGATTTGGTCTGACTCTTTCATTAGCGATAAAATTAACTGGATGGCTATTAATCAGAATCTCTTAGAAGAATTTCTTCTATAGGTTTAGTTTAGAACGAAATAGGAATCTTTTTTGTTTGTTTTAGAGACAGATTATCCATTGTGCCAGTGATGCCTATAGTTAGCTTAACCACCAAAGATCCAGAAGTCATATTTCTTCATATTTGGTGTGCAGCAGACTACTTCTACTACTGTGTTACATCATAGTATCAATTAGCTTAAATTAGCTTCTGCTACATTAACAAACTACGCCAAATTGCTGTGCTTTGGAACTGGGAGTAAATTTTGGGATGGTTTGTTTTTAAAGCAGTAGATTAGCAAAATGATTCTCAAACATCCTAATTGTTATGTAGTCTGTAGGTACATTCATAATTGAATTTTTGTCTTCCTTAGATTAATCTAATAGCTCCTCCTCGGTATGTAATGACTACAACCACCCTGGAGAGAACAGAAGGCCTCTCTGTCCTCAATCAAGCTATGGCTGTTATAAAAGAAAAAATTGAGGAAAAGAGGGGAGTCTTCAATGTTCAAATGGAGGTGAGGTCAATACTGGGATTTTTTTTGCCTTGTTATTAAAGTTTTTAAGAAGTTTCAGTCATGTAACTGATTTGTCTTCTAAAATATCTGATCTGTGACTTACAAAACATGAGATATGTTTAAAACTACAAGGCCTCTAAGTATAAAATAGTCATTGACTCGAGTTCCTAAAAGGTTTTTAAAAGTAAATAAGAACTATCATGAAGTGGTTATTCAAGACTGTGGTCATTGATCCCCCAATATGAAAAAAATAAAGACAATGAAAATAACTGAAAAAAGAAAGAAGTGATTGATTATCATCCAAATTTAGAATGCTTGAAGTTTGATTTCAGATGAGGAACTACTATGTTTTTCTCGTCTCAACAAGAACAAAACCAAAATTTCATATATAATTTTCAAAATAAATTTCTGTGGAAGAAATTTTGAAGCCAGAAGATGGATTTTTACAGGTCATCTTTTTGTGTGTTTGAAAGATACAGTGACTATACAGTCAATATATATTTTCAGTTTTATTATCTCATGGGATTTATTGGTAGTATTTCAGTGCTCAGAATAAGTTAAAATACCAGGCAGTAATAGTATTGAAACTGAAGTTGTGTGTGTTTAACTACATTCACATTGAAATTGTGCCTTTGCTTTCACAGCCCAAAGTGGTCACAGATACAGATGAGACCGAACTTGCAAGGCAGCTGGAGAGGCTTGAGAGAGAAAATGCAGAAGTGGATGGAGACGATGATGCAGAAGAAATGGAAGCCAAAGCTGAAGATTAACTTGTGGGAAACAGAGTCCAGTTTAAGGAACACAAAGCAGCCTTCCTGGCTGTAAACCCTAGACTTAAAAGTTTTCCAGTATTGAAAACTTCAAAGCTGAATATTTTTTATTTCTAAGTATTTAAATGTTCCAACAGACCAAAACATGAAATGCCCTCCTAAATGTTAGCTGTTTACACACAGTAGCTCCAAAACCTTGAGCATTTTTTAAGGGAGTGGCCTGATTTCACTAGATACAGATCTTCAAGACGAGACATAAATTGGGCTTATGATTTCCATTTCTGATATCTCCAGATTGGCACCCCTTTGTAGTTTAGTGCCTCCATGAGATTTACCAGAGGCACCCAAAAGCGGAATAGTTCCAACCTTTCTATATAAAATGTATCGAGCAAACATTAAATAAATTTCTGGGATATTTAACCATAGGTTTCTTCCTTATTATCACCAGTTGAAAGCATTACGATTCCTAAGAATTTCATTTTATTTGAAATGTAGTAATTTAAAGGCAGGTGACCAGAGGATAAGTATAGCAGATCCTTTCAAAAGGAAGATTTACAGAGACTTTGCCAGTGGTCGAGTGGTCAGGACTCCATGCTTTAACAGCTGAGGGCCTGGTTTGATCCCTGGTTAGGGAGCTGAAATCCCGTGAGCCGTGTGCTGTGTGCCAGGCTCCCTCTCCCCCGACCTGACCCCCTTTAATAAAGAGGGTTTAGAGAACATTTTAATTAGTGAAAGTTTACTCCTAGGGGAAAAAAGCCTTAAAACGTAACACATTAGTTGAGTGCCTTTTACCTATTTGAGACTGATGACAACATGTGGTCAGAAGGAGAATTTATCACACTGTTCCTTGTTGGTGTACTAAGCTGCTTGTCTTGAGTTTGTAATTCAAGGTGGTAAAGGGGGGATTGTTTTTGTTTTTTTTAAACTTTAGTTTTTGGGGGTTTTTTTTTGTTTTGTTTTTGTTTTTTAAGAAAAAGATGCTGCTTTGTAAATTTAGTTATGTTTTTGTTTTTTTTTAACTTTAGTTTTTTGGGGGTTTTTTTTGTTTTTGTTTTTTAAGAAAAAGATGCTGCTTTGTAAATTTAGTTATTTTGAGTATCATTGCCCAACTTTTAATTTTTTTTTTCCAGTAAAATATTTGCTAGGTGCCACCTTAGAGTTTCACTTCTCTTCCTAACAGGGATCTGTTTGAACACAATTAACAATCATTTTTCAAAATGTTTCCATCATTTTTTTAAAGAACTGATTGTTTTAAAGGTAAATAAATAATATATACAAAGGCAAATAAATTTGATAGATAACACATGGTTTGCAGTTACAGTGGCCAGGGTTAACTTGTTAACAAGTTAACAAGTCTTGAGTTAACTTTTGTTTACTTCATAAATTTAATCTCTTAGGATATCTGAGATACTGGATAAATTAATTTCACTAATTATTCCCAAGAATAGCTATTTAAATACTTAGAAGGTTAAATATAACCCACCTTACTCAATCCAGGACTAGACTTAACTTACTGTTAAAGGGATTGGAAAATAGAAGAGTGTGTTGGTGAGACATTTAAGCTGTTTGTGAAGGTTTGTCCCTTTGTTTAATTTAGCAGCCTCTACTAGCTCTTTAGATCCTGGTCTAACAATATAACTTTTCATGAGGGAGCCATGGCTGCTAGCTTGCATGCCATACTGAATATTTAGAGGAGAATCTGGATGTATTCAAATCAACACATAATTTTCAGTTCAGTTTTTTTCTGAGGAGTTAAAAAGTATAAAGCTCACAGCATCACGAATGTTATCAAACTATATAACAGGTGCTCCTTAAATGTTTGTTGTAAGCAGAAGAATTGAATTTTCACTTTGTTCACTGGATTTTTTAATACTTCAAAAGCCATAACTGTCGAGAAATACTGGTGGCATCCATGGTGAGTGGTTTATATCCTATGCAGGCCTTTTGTTCAGTTCCACAATTTTGCAAATTTATGACCCTTGCCAGAGAAAAAGAGCAATACCTCACTGATGATGGAGAAAACTAAGTAAACTTTCCCTGCTGACCTAAAAGTATCACTTTCAAATATGAGAACAAGATCACACCTAGCTCTAGAAACTTGAACAGATTGACAAAAGATAACTGACCAGTTTACCCAAATTTTCAATCTGTCCACATAAAGACTCACTAGAAATTGACAGTTTCATCTTCTCCCAGTTCTGTCTTTGAGGTCAAGTGGTTATCAACTCATAATTGAAAATTAGCAATAGTTTGAGTCTCATTTAGGTATTATAATTAGTTGAAAATTTTAAGTGGCCGGAAAAATACAAACATCCAAATGATTTTTCATGTTTTCTAGTAAGACAAACCAGTATTTAATGAGGATAATGCTTAAACACTTAGTGGAAACCCACAGATGGCCTTACTTGACCTAGTTAACTTCTGCAGTAAAAGCAATTTAAATGGTTAGGAATTTTTAAAAATTCAAGTGCTAGTACCCTTGGCAAGAACTGTCCCATAATTTACTTCAAAGTGATAGTCAACTACTTTTCAACTCATGATACTGGTACCTACCATACAGAGTGGGGTATAATTGTGCCAATTTACAATCAAAAAGCCATCAAACCAAATGCAGCTTAATTCAGATAGAAACATTGAGAGCAAAAAGCAATAAAAAAAACTAAGGACAGACCTTGGTAAAATGCCAAATGGAAAATGGTGCTTTAAAAGGCAGTCTCTTACAATGTAAGGAATAAAGTAAAACCTCATTAGCTTGGAATTCCTGATCTGAATGATCAGGTATTCTAGACAAGATCAAGAGAAGATAGCTCAAACTATTGAATGAATTTTTACTTAAGCACTTTGGAGGTGTTCACGCCCCTTAAATGTAAGTTACATATCTATTCGTTAAAGGAAGTTTAAGCAGTTGTACTGGCAGATTACTGTATTAAGCTTGAAAGTAATAAAAATGTTTTTAAAGACACTGTATGATACAGACTTTTCACTACTACAGATTAACCTAACTGATGAAGCTTCTTGGTACCTGTTTGTCTCCATTAATCTTCATTCTAAAACCAAAACTTCATGCCTTGATTTAATTCTCCCATAGACATCTTTCTCTCCTTTAGAAAGCTCCTGCTCTGCATCTTTCTAAACAACTTTTTTCACAGAAAAGCTGTAATTTTACTTTTATGTATGTGACTAATCCAACTGAGTCCATGATTTCTTTTCTGCAATGTATAATACTTACGAAGGCTTTTTTTTCAAAACAAAATATTTCATTGAAGATTTTACCCACATCCCCACTTTTAAGATAAGGCTTTAAGCTCACTTGAGATGTTTTTATAAAATCAGCTTGCCTAATAATTCATATAGCCTTAAGCATGAAAAACCTTTGAAAACTGAAACTTTGTATAGGAATTCTAATAGCCAGGAACAAGTGTCAATTTTTACTCATTCCAAAGGAGTTGAGGTGCTGACAGCATTTCCGAGAGCTCCATCATGAGGTTATAGTATTTTGTTCAGTATTACGTGGCCAGTTAGTGTGACAAGGGAGACCTACTTTGGTACCCAAGGAATGGCTGGTTGTGATAATGGGCAAAAGTCAAGGTGCTGACTTGGCTGACCAGGCTGCTTCAGCATTTACAGGTTAACTGTAAATGAAGGTGGGGAAGGCAATAGCACCACTGCCAGCTTGAAGGAACTCCACCAATCTCACTCCAAAGTAGTACAAAATATAAAAAGTTAAAAATCTTAACATACTCCTATTGTCCAGGAAATCCTGTGTCATCTGGTAAGAGGGAGGCATCTCAGTCCCATTCCCTCAGGTCCTTGTCACGTTAGCTTCTTGATAGCTTCAATCCACTCAGAACGCTCAGCCTTGCTGCTGGCCTGGATATAATAGTGTATGTCATCCTTAGTAATCACTTTGAAGAGATTTCCCTGGACATTCCCTTTAACCCCTAGGCAGGAAGAAAAAAAAAAATCAGTGAGTGAATATCCATGTCTGCTTTCAGCTGGGAGCAGCTGAAAGTCACTGAGACAGACAAAAACACACAATGAAGTATTAGTACAAATGCACATATATGGTTAGGCAATCCTGCCAGAGGCATGCTTTCCTATTTGCCTCCCATCCATCCCCTCTCCCTCATCTGTGCCTTAAGGCCTGCCAGTTTTATGTCTGAAGGTTCTTGAAAGACCTCTTGGCCTACCCTCTATGCTAACCACAAGTCTGCAGTCTCACATCAAAAAAGTCTAGAAGGTTTTATGTTAAAAGCATGGACAGGTGTGGAATTTGACTGGAATTGTTTAATTTCTTTGAACCTCAATCTTCCCATCCATAAATTGAGAATAGCACTACCTGCCTTAGCTGTCTAGTGTGAAATTAGCATGACAACAGATATTAAATTGTGTTGTCAATCTTTAAACACTATTGTAAGCTATTGTTCTTACGTGGAAGCTTATGGGCCAGTAAGCACAGGAAAGGATGGGAAAGAATGTTAAAGATGAGAATTATTTAGTTGTGTTGTTAAAACACTAGAATACCCCATGTGTCCTTTCTCTGATTTTGAAATTGGCTTCAGAATTTACACCATTCATTGTCTCACTGAGAAAGCCCCACTCAGGCCCCACAGCTTAGCCCATCATCAGCAGAGCATTACTGAGCGAGCAGGAGGGAGGACCCTGAGATGAGGATGGGGCCAAAGTTGCCCCTTACCAGTGGGAACGCCATTATCCTCCAGAGCTGACACCAGGGAGCCACGAAGAGAAAAGCCACCCACTGGCCGGTTCTCTTCCTGCAAAGGAAAGGAGGCCTGATCAGGGGCTGTGAAGGCACAGAACTCTTATTAGAAGAGACGGAAATAACTGGACCACACTACCCTTCTCCTGAGAAACCTGCATGCAAGTCAAGAGGCAACAGTTAGAACCTCACATGGAACAACTGGTGCAAACTCAGGAAAAGGAGGATGTCAAGGATGGATATTGTCACTCTGTTTATTTAACTTACATGCAGAAATGTCGGATTGGATAGATCACATGCTGGAATCAAGATTGCCAGGAGAAACATCAACAACCTCAGATATGCAGATGATACCACTCTAATGGCGAAAAGCCATTTAGAGGAACTAAAGAACCTCTTAATGATGGTGAAAGAGGAGAGTGGCTTAAAACTCAACATTCAAAAAACTAAGATCATGGCATCCAGTCCCATCACTTCATGGCAAATAGATGGGAAAAAAGTAGAAGCTGGGACAGATTTTCTTTTCTTGGGCTTCAAAATCACTGCAGACAGTGACTGCAGCCATGAAGTTAAAAGATGCTTTCTCCTTGGAAGGAAAGCTATGACAAATCTAGACAGCATATTAAAAAACAGAGACATCATTTTGCAGGTCCATATAGTCAAAGCTATGATTTTTCCAGTAGTCATGTACGGATGTGAGAGTTGGACCATAAAGAAGGCTGAACACTGAAGAACTGAATCTTTTGAACTGTGGCGTTGGAGAAGACTCTTAAGAGTCCCTTGGACTGCAAGGAGAGCAAACCAGTCAATCCTAAAGAAAATCAACCCTGAATAATTCATTGGAAGGACTAGGCTGAAGCTGAAGCTCCAATAATTTGGCTAACTGATGTGAAGAACTGACTCATTGGAAAAGACCCTGATGCTGGGAAAGATTGAGGGCAGGAGAAGAATTGGGAGACAGAGGATGAGATAGTTAGATAGCATCACCAACTCAATGGACATGAGTTTGAGCAAACTTTGGGAGATGATGAAGGACAGGGAAGGCTTGTGTGCTGCAGTCCATGGGGTCACAAAGATGTTGGACAGGACTGAGCAACTGGGCAATAACAACAGAAGAATCATGCTTTCATCATACCACCCTCAGCCTGCTAAAGAATTAGTCCATGAGAGTCATTTGTAACAGAAGATGAGGCTGAACTTGGACATCCCATGGCAAGTTATCTGCATGAGCGAGGAAGTCTGGGCTTCAGTTCACAGCCAGTCACATCAGCACCACGCCCCTCCCTGCCCCTTAGCCCTCCCGGTGGTCTAGCAGGGTCCCCAGGGGCCCCTTCAAGTTCTTGGCTTAGGGTTGGGTTCCTGACCGAATGCCCACTCTTCATTATTTCAAAAAACAAATGAAAATCACACAGCGACCAAGACAAGGCTGAACACAGTAATACTTATTATCTGAAATTCAGAATTGTGGCTTAAACATTAAATGGCAAAAGAAACCTTTCAAAACATTGGTGGGGACAAGAGGATGAGGGGGCAGAATTCATGGCCTCTTTGGGTGGAAAGGGGTGAAAAGAGGCTGGAAAGCACCAGTCAGGAGTCTTCATCAGCTCAGCTCCCCCTTCGTAGGCACACAGCCAGCTTTGGAGGAACTGAAAGATGCTTTTCCTCCCAAAACAATCCAAAAGATCCACTGAGCAGGCGACGATGTGATGAAAGAAAAGAGACGTCAGACTGGGAGGAGCAGTTTGCAACCGTGGAAGGAAAGGCATCGTGGGTGGAAGTTATGGTAGGGAGGCTGGGAGGAAGGCTGGAGGTGGAACCAGCCCCGGTTCTGCTGGGGAGAGACGCGTCTGGAAGCACGACAAGGCACTCACTTTGGAAGGGTCGTAGTAATGCAGAAAAGCCGGGTCCTTCCTCAGAACAAAGCGCCGTACCTTCCAGTTTTTCCTCTTGTGCCCCTGAGGCAAAGAAAGGGTGTATGGCTCATGGGTGACAGCTTGTAGTCACATCCTTCCACCTTCACGCCTCTCATGCCTTAGGCCTGCTTGTCTGGGACTCCTATGGGCGCAGACATGTGCCAGCCCATTGCCTTGCTCCCTGTGGCCACCGCCGGGCCCTGACTTAGCAGATGCTGACAACTAACGCCCTCTGGAGTCTCAGCCCTTCCCACCCTTTGTGGGGGTTCCCGCCTCCCCCGAGGTCCAGGACTGTCCACTCCCTCCCTGCTCCAAGGTGGCCGTCCCATACCTGCTTGGCCAGATAGCCTTGCTTCACCACAGTGCCACTTAGCTCCATGGTGCTGAGACTGATTTCTTCCTTGGGACTTATCTTCTTCTTGCAGCTCTCAGCCTGGTAGGAAGGAGAGACAAGGACTCTTGTCACCAACACATCCCAGCTCCAGGCTGGGGAAGCTCCCACAGGGGAAAGGAAACTCCCACTCCACCTGGGGGTGACGCTGTCCCCGCTTCCCGAGCCCTAGGCCTCTCCCCGCTGACCGTGGAGCCCTGGCCCGCACTGGGTGGCCTCTTCCTCTCTCTGCTCCCGTGCCAAGAGGAGCCCAGGCCCTCACTTACGAATGTGTACAGGGCTGTGGAGTCGTCCAGGAACTGCTCAGACAGATCCCCCGAGCGAGTGGCTCCCGTGCTTCGGGTGCCTACTGGCCGAAGGAAGTTCTCCTCCATGAGCACCGAGGCCAGCGTCACAGCCTCCAGACGGCTGGCGGCAAAGCCGCTGGAGAGGAGCCAGTCCACCAGGGAGGAGCCTGCAGCGGGCAAGGGCAGCACCCGTCAAGACAGCAGGCTCCAGCTTCCTCAGGGGTGCCTGGCTGTGACCTCATTGACCCTGTCCCCTGGGGCAGCCTTGAACAGCCTTGGGGCTCAGCCCTGGAGCAGATCAAACGCCACCCCCGCTGCCCAGAGCTGTGGCCGCACCCACATCTCAGGCCGGCCCGTTGGCTGCCAGGCAGCTCAGGCCTCAACACCACTGAGCCCCAGGTCACCAAGCCCCAGGTCTCCGGGGCCTGGCGCGGCCCCGGGAGTGGGCTGGGGGTTGGGGGCTCACCTATGAAGGTCTTTTTGTAGGTGCTTCCCTGCTCCATGTTGGGGCTTGGCCGGATTCCGCAGGTACTGTCGCGCATCTTGTCCACGATGCGACTACATGGAAGAAAGGCAAAAGAGAGGAGACCCTTGTCACATTGACAGGAATGAGGGTGGGTCCATGAGCCACTGCTGAGGGTATAAAGCACGTGGCAAGTGGCATAATACACATCGCAGAGAAAGAGGGGTATTCTGTTATGCATCAGAATTTGAGCGGTAGGATTGGGGAACATTTCTTCTTGCTCATCTAAATATTCTAATAATTCTATGCTAGACAGGTATTATGTTTGTAGTAAAACTAAAGAGCTGTGACTTAATTTAAAAACAGAAGAATTATCTATGATCCGCTACATAAAGTCCAAACTCCTCCAGCTACTTCTCAAAAGTCACCCATCACTTGAACATACTCTCATCTGCTGCTGGTCCTCCTGCACTCACCATGGGTTAGCCACGCCCTAGATGCACAAATGATGCTTTTGAACTGTGGGGCTGGAGAAGACTCTTGAGAGTCCCTCAGAAAGCAAGGAGACCAAACCAGTCAATCCTAAAGGAAATCAACTCTGAATGTTCATTGGAAGGACTGATGCTGGAGCTCCAATACTTTGGCCACCTGATACAAAGAGCCGACTCACTGGAAAAGACCTTGATACTGGGAAAGACTGAGGGGAAGAGGAGAAGGGGCAACAGAGGATGAGATGGTTGGATGGCACCATTGATACAATGTACATGAACCAGGGCAAAGCCCGGGAGATGGTGAGGAACAGGGTGGCCTGCCATGCTGCAGTCCATGGGGTCACGAAGAGTCAGACACGACTTAGTGACTGAACAACAAAGATGCACAATCAAGATTCCAGAGCCTGGTATGGAGTTTTTTGGTAAGCCTGGGAAGTTCTGCTTCCTGCAAAGTTAGTGGGCATTTCCTGCAGATGCGCGGACATAACAATTTCCATGATGGGAATTCCTTTCATCCTTCCCTACTTTATAGTATCACTGCCACCACTGACCTGCTTTCCTTCTGTTCTGTGGGACGATCCTGGCTACCAATGGCAAACTTTCTCTATTTCTCTATTTAGGTACTTGGGCTGGAAAGCCCCTGAGATGAGACTTTGCCTATGCCCATATGCATGAGCACCTAGAGCGATGTGTGGCATGCAGCAAGCACTCAGTAACTATTTCTTAAAAGAGTGAATGGATGGATGGATGAAGAATCCCACAGACCAAGAATGCAGCTCTTAACAGAACACATGTTCTTGCCACCAGGCTGCAAATAAGACTAATGACTTGGTGAGTGGAGATTCCTGGGGAGCTGTTTGTATAGCCCCGAGCATCCCAGTTGACACTGAAGGGAGGGGGTCAAGACACTGAGGGGGCAGGAGCAGCAGGGACCCCAAGAGGCCACAGGGCAGGCTGGCAGGGCCACTCCCACCGAGAGAAAACGTCAACAGGCCCTGGAGCACCGCTGCAGCACCAGCCAGGCCCCTCCTGAGGCGGGCAGACAGCAGAGGCTGCAGCAAAGCCGGGGGGGCGAGGGCAGGGCCGGGCACGCACTGCAGGCTGATGTGAGGCGGCAGCTTGAAGGAGTTCTTCAGTAGGTGAAGCTGTTGGACCTTCCCCGGCTGCCCCGCGTGGATGGCTCCTGTTATCTCGAAGGCCCAGGCGTCCCTCTCCTCTCGAGAACAGGCCTCCAGGAAGTACTCCGTGGATGTTTGAGTTTTCAGCTTAATGAGGAGCTGTGGGAAGAGACAGCCAGTCAGACCAGGCAGGCGAGAGAGAGGAAGCTGGCTGGGCAGGAAAAAGGACAGAACCGAAGCAGATCCGGGAGACCACGTGATCCAGAGACTGCCGAATGCCTCACCGCTCGACCACGTCCCAGCCACCGGGCCTTTAAAGATTCCCTTGTGCACCTCCAGTGACAGAGAGTTCACCACCTTGGCCCCTATGAACAGACTAATTAGCGCAGAGTCTGCTTCCTGGGGCCTTGGTCTCTCTGCTCCCGATTCTGCCTTCCAGGTTAAGCTCACCTCTTATGAGAGCCCCTGCGCTAAAGAGGGAAACACACAGGCTTCCAGGTGAGACTCAGCTAGATCCATAGCTGTGGTCACTTGGGCACATTAAAGGACCCACTGAGCCTCCCAGTGCCTTCATCTGTCCCATGAGGCTATTAATGCCTACCCCGAAGGAACTCAGTTCTGATCCTTTTGATCATCTTTTTATTTTTTAAAATGTATTTATTTTTAATTGAAGGATAATTGCTTTACAATAGTTTGGTTGGTAAAGAATCTGCCTGCAATGCAGGAGACCCAGGTTCTATCCCTGGGTCACGAAGATCCCTTGGAGGAGATGATGGCAACCCACTCCAGTATTCTTGCCTGGAGAATCCCATGGACAGAGGAGCCTGGCGGGCTACAGTCTATGGGATCCAAGAGTCGGACATGACTTAGCGACTAAACTATTGTGTTGGTTTCTGCCAACATCAACATGAATCAGCCATAGTATACCTATGTCCCCTCCCTCGTGAACATCCCTCCCTCTTCCCTCCCCATCCCACCCCTCTAGGTTGTTACAGAGCCCCAGTTTGAGCTCCCTGTGTCATACGGCAAATTCCCATTGGCTATTTACATATGGTAATATGAGTTTCCATGTTACTTTCTCCATACATTCCCACCCTCTCCTTCCTCCACCCCCCCATCCCGCCCCCGTGTCCCTAGTCTGTTCTCTATGTCTACGTCTGAGCTGCTTCTTGATTGGGTCTAGTCATCCCAAGTCTTTCACACATTCCTCATATAATATGGTTTAAACTTTCTCAACCAGTTCATGTCCAAATCTCCATCCATCCCAAAGTTGTACCTGAGCCAGACAGCTTGTAAGGGCATCTTCCTCCTTTTCAGCAAGACAGTGTTCTCTATGGGCAATAATATCTGTACCAACATTGGAACTCTGCTTTTCAATTAACCACTTGCTTTCATAACAAGAGCATTAACTGAAAGAAGCAATCTGACAATCTTCTTCCTTGACTTCTCCAAGCCTAGCAAATTTCTTGGCACTTACTGAGCCCTCGGTAAATGATTAATTCAGATTCTTTTCTGATGGTAGATGGTAAATGATTAATTCAGGTTCTTTTTAGGGTTGAGCTGCTCTTGACTTTTGGAACACGTACCCACTGGGGGATGAAAGCCATCCTACTGAACCTGAAATAGCAGTAACTACTCACATTTGTGTGGTACCTCCTAGGCTACAAGTGTTTTGACCCACCATTACCTTCATGATCCTCATCACAGCTGTGAGCGACAGTCAGGTGTCATTACATGATCCCAGTTTATAGACCAGGATCTCAGGCTCAGAGAGGTTCAATTACTTGCCCAAGGTCACGTGCCTGGTATGTGGCGCCACCGGGATTTGAGTCTAGGTTTTTCAGTAACTCAGCTGTTACCGTGACTCATTCCACCTTTGCCTAAGAGGCCAGGGAGGGAGGTGGTCCGGGGAGTGGGAGGGAGGCGCTGGGAAGAGGGGCCTTCACTTACCGGGCGATTTCCATACTCCAGGCAGGGGCAGGTGATGGTGCAGCCATCCAGAAGGATGCGGCCCTTGGGAGGGGTCACTTTCCGACCCCCCTCGAACTTGTAGTATAGCAGCGTGTTCTGCCGAAGAATGAACCACCGCGCTTTCCAGTTGTGGACAATGTGACCCTGAGGACAGACAGGCGAGCCCTGAGGTGAGCTGGCCGAGGGGACGACCTGGTCACAGAGAGAGAGTCTCGTTGCACAGGTGGTCAGACTGTGCCACGGGATCGACTCTCCAATACGGAGACAGCGCTCTCTCTCTTACTTATCAATTTTATTTTCTAATTTTGAAATAATTTCAATTCAGAGAAAAGTTGAAGACAAGCATAAAACTTTTTTACAAAAAAAAACTTTTACAAAACCACTAAGAGTTTTTAACATGATGCTCTATATGTTAATATTGATGTTTCTCAATATTTTATTGTGTCTTCTACCAAAAAATAAAAAGTATCCAACATAACCACAATACAATCAACATTAGGAAATTTACATGAATATGTTATTTTCCTCTGTTCCATAAACTCCACTCAAGTTTCACCAATTATCCCAATAATGTCCTTAAGAACCAAAAGATCCTGTTCCAAATTACATGTTTATTTTCATTTTCATGAAGAAATTGTGAGCTTTGGATCTCTTTGCCATCTCTTTTGAGTATGTAACAAAGACTTTGGCGTTCACTTTCTAGTTCTCATTTGTTCTTTTTTTCTGTGGTTATAAGCCTTGAAAGAAACTGCAAAGTACACAGAAGAAAAGATCCCAGGGACTTCCCTGATGGTCCAGGGGCTAAGACTCTGAGCTCTCAGTGTAGGAGGCGTAGGTTCCATCCCTGATCTGGGAACTAGATCCCACATGCAGCAACTAAGAGTTCACCTGCTGCGATGAAAGATCCTACATGCCTCAATGAAGACCCAGCACAGCCAAATAAATAAATATAAAAAAGAGAGAAATCCTGTTAATACCTTGCATTTCCTTTGTCTTTTTCCCTTTCATTATTTTTTTAATCAAGAGCATATTATGTATAGTTTTATTTTCTAGTCTTTCTTTTATTGACTTTGCCAAGCATTTTCTTACACCATTGTTACTGCTAAGTCACTTCAGTCGTGTCCGACTCTGTACGACCCCATAGACAGCAGCCCACCAGGCTTCCCCGTCCCTGGGATTCTCCAGGCAAGAATACTGGAGTGGGTTGCCATTTCCTTCTCCAATGCATCAAAGTGAAAAGTGAAAGTGAAGTCACTCAGTTGTGTCCAACTCAGCAACCCCATGGATGGAGGAG